GGAGCTCCTGCTGCTGCCTGGACGTGTCCCCTTTTAACAGAGTACTGCTCCCCTCCTGACAGAGCTATAGCACACAAAGGACTCCAGGAGTCTGACGGAGAGCATAGGAGAAATCAAGTGGCAGAGGTGTTAGAAGGCTGGGATGAAGCCTCAGGAATTGGACTACACATCAGAGAATGCTGCAAAGATGTGATGCGGCATGAAGGCTCAGCACTTACAGATCAGGAGATACTGGAGATCTACCCAACGTCTCTCATTGTGGAGGTACACCTAAATCTGCAATACCATAGCTCTTCCAGATTAATTCTAAAAGCCATTGAGATTTCTACAATGAAGGGTGTGGAAAGAAAAAAAAAAAAATTAGATGAGTAGCACCCAGGTCTCAAATGGAGAAGTAAAATGATATTCCTAAGTCAGAGCCAAAGTGAACACATGGATTGGGTATCTTAAAGCTGTGCTGCCTCACAAAACAATGTGCAAACTGGTGCAAAACCAAAGATGCAGTGGCCACAAGAGAGATGTGACGGGCTAAACTGTACTGCACAGTAACAAAGGACTCATGAAACCTCCATTTTGCTGAGGTTCACAGCACTCTGAGATACAGCTGTGGATTAATCACCCCACCTTGCTATGCCTCTGGCTGCCACAAGAACTGCATTTAGTTACAGATAGGTTTGGCAGGTTGCACAATTGGTTACTGATACTGCCAAAAACCATCCAGCACCAGTGGAACACAGAGAGCAACTGCAATCAGCCACTTGCAGCAGTACTAGATCCAGATAGAATCAGAAAGGCTGCAGGATTGGAAGGCTCCAGCATCACCCTTGTCTACTCAGTCATCTGTGTCACATGGATGCTGGAGTTCACCAAGGCATTTTTTTATTCCAGGGTGCCCGGGGGTGCATCTCTGAGTGGATTCACATATTCATATTTAACAGCATGTTCAATAAGCTTCTTCTCTTCTGTACAGCACTTAAGAGTGAATAATTAAAGGAAATATTACTGTAGTAGAGCTTCTCATTAGCAACCTAATTAGCTTTCTGAAAATAATTAACATTCCTTTCTATAAAGAGAACAGATGACCCATTACATCCATTAGACAAGCAAAACAAATGCCCTAGGTAAGCAACTTTTTTTCAGAGGAAGAGCATGGGAAGCATCCAGCAACGCCATTAAAAGAGGAAGCTGAGGAGGCACAGATGCCTGTGACTCATGAAGACTATGCAGGTGGGTACGCAGGATTGGTGTGTCTAGTTGTCAGATGTGTAAATGTGTAGCATTTGCACACAGATATGTTCTTTATCTGCCTCTATGACCTGCTGATATTCCATCAACTGAGATGCTGAAAAATTTGGCACCCCATCTTTTTTTTGAATGCTTTCAAATTCAGCCACTTAAGCTCATAACCATCTCTCTCCAAATGCAAAAAACAAAAAAAATCCCCCAAAGTTTTTTTTGTTTGTTTGTTTGTTTTTAATAGTAAAACACTTCAAAAATTCCCAAATAAACTACAGTTTAATGTCACGTGCAGTTCATTTCCACAGCCTACAGGAACAGCTGAGGTGATGGTTAGGAGCAGCATCAAGTACCTTCCCCCCAGCTGTAGAGGGTGGTGCTCTGATCAGCTGGTATGTTGAAAGAGTTTGGAACATGTTTCTCAATCAGTACCTGTTTGAAATTGTTGTGGGTGAACAGAGTGACAGCTATCAGTGCTGTGGAATGCTTGCATGTACAGATGAGAAGAAAACTAAGGACACAAGTCAGCATATCACGGACTGGTACAGCAAGAAATGTGGTGTTATAACAGTATTATCACATGTGTTGACTCAGCACAGAACAACAGATAAAGGAGAAACAAGCCATGACAAAAATAAGGTTCCCAACATCCATATATTCTTGGCCATGTAGTTGCATTTTTCTCATTTCTGTGTTCGTACATTTACATTCCCCTTGTAGAAGAGTTGAATACTCGTAGCCTTTAAGTGTGATTACAGTGAGGCAAAGCTCAGCATGCAAAAGCTTCCACAGTTACATCACTATGGAAACCACACATCCACCTCCTGCTCTGTTTGTCTGCTTCCTTATCTGATTAAAAAAAAAAGAAAAAAAAAAAAAGAAAAAAAAAGAAAACCCCCTATTTTTCCAATCTCCACAATTCTATCCAGACCACAGGAAGACAAACACTTTTTACCTGCCTCAGGAAAAATACCTTCTTCCTTCAGAGCCACTCTGTGAAAGGCCCCACCTCTCCACCTAGCTGGGCAGACTTTCACCAGCACACTTACTCCACTTCTTTCAAAAAGCACTCTCAAAACCCAGGCTGGGATTTCACTTTTGTTTCCCATCTACAACTTCCCTCAGCTTCTGGACTAGGACAGCCCCAGAGGTGAGTGACTTTTAGGGCAAATTCAGTGAGAAGGTTAAATTGAAAGCTGAAAACTGTTCTGGATGTGAGCTATAGTGTCTTTCCTAGATCGAAACATCCAGTTTCTTTCCTCAAAGCTCATTTTTGTGGAAGAACATTTGAATTGCCCTAAAATCAAGGTAGATGACATTGCTAGGCAGCTGCAAACACAAGGGCTGAACTGTTGCCAAAGAAGCCCATTACTTCTGCAGAAGTTGCTGGTTAATGGTAACTTTTCCCACACTAAAAGTCTAAATCTCTCATCAAAAGCCTGAAGCCAAGAGCAAATCTGGAAGACGCAGAATTAATATAGGGGACAATACTTAGAAGTCTGAAATAAGGTGTGCATTCTGCAGCCCAGGTATGTGAAATGGCTGATAGAATCTTCATACTAACATGTCAGAGAGGGTAAATTCTCCCCTGTGTCTGTGAATTTTGTGGTGAGCCTTTGAAAACGTCTTCAGCAAGTTCCCTCTGACCTCCCAGCTCATCTATCCCAAGAGCTCACAGCAGTTCAGAATTTAGCCTATGTAGTTCCTCAACTCCTTGGCACCTCTCAGCTTCAGCTGCCAAGTTTTCCAATCATTATGGAGCAAATGCCCACTGGTAAATGAGTTGAGAAAAGGTATATATTTTTACAGCACATAAGCACCCTCTTCTATGCTAAGGTACTCTGTAAAGAAAGAAAAGTCCAGCTATGCTCAGAGGACTTTCGGCAGACAAGAGTCTGGCTTTTCAGTAGGACATAGATAGAAACAACCTAACATAGCATAAATTCTCTTACAAAAACAAGGTGCAGCCACACTAAAGGTGCTACCCCCTACCAGCTTTCACAAAAGGGAGCAGTCAGTGCTTCCTTCTTGATCCTCATTTCCCTCCCACAGACATTCCAGGATTCTATCAGTGATCAGACACATTCCAGTTCCATTGGTGCTATGGGAGTTCCTACCAACAGCCCACAGAATGAGCAAAGGTTACTTCTGTGTCCTCAACATGTCACAACAGTGCATATGACAGGTTCTTGGAGAAGGGCAGACTGAGTGGAAGAGTGATGCAGTGTGCAGGGTCGTGTCCCTGTGGCTCTGGGAGCAAATCTGTCTGCATCTCCAGCAGATGGCATTCCAAGCAGCCCAAGTAGATGGCACATACAGGAGGCATTGGAGGAATTAATTATTCATAGTCTTGTTCTGCTGCCAATGGATCTATGTTTTCTTGTGCCCACACAGTGCTCAGTTTTTGTTTTAACAGTAACAGGAGATGTCTGCACCTCCTTTGATGGCTCTTGAGGGAAGGCGATTAGCGGCATTTGCTCCGCTCACAGCAACAGTACTATACCTCAGGGCACATGCCAGACACAGCTTTCTCCAGAAGAACCCATGGCTGCATCATTGACAGAATGTCTGGGTGCACTCCAAGGCACGGTCCAGCAGCAGCAAACTTCCTGAGAAGCTGCTGACTCTTGCTTTGTCATAACCTGCAGAACTGGCATGAACCTTGCTGCTCAAGAGATGACATTCTGACCAATTGAGGGCATGTGTATAACTGCACAACCAGCAACAAGATCATACGCAGAGCCTGAAGCAGTTGTTGACCCTGCTTACCCACATCGTCTGCATTGTCATTGTTCAGCCCACTGCTTTTATTCAGTAGCTGTCCAGAACTGCTGCCCATTCCCAGAAGAGGGGCAGGGATCAAGCAAGGCAACCTGTGTGACTGGGACAGTACCACAAGGGATCCCTTGGACACCACCACAAGGAGAGGGCCACGAGACTCCTGAGACAGAGAGCAGACTATGGTGGAGGTGCTATGTGAATCTGAACATGTAGGTGCTACACATGGAGAACTCAAAGTGATTTCCATGTCAGAGAAGTACTGTGCATGACCTACCATGAGGGCCTTAGCCACAATCTAGAAAACAGAAACTGTACTCTAAACTGCTGAAAGCTGCACCAGAGCACCTGACTTTGCCTCTTGCTAGGGCACTGTGCTGCGGAGTACTATGAGAACTCTGCAGGGTCCAGGGATTGTTGCTGATATCCCACAATGCCTAGCCTGTCTACTAGGATCAATGCAACTCTTCACTCAAATGTAAAACCTCTCACTTTGGTAGCGTTTTACTCTGCGCAATTGTAGCAGGCTGCAATAGGTACAGGCAAGAGGAGCCTGTGATCAGCAGAGTAGCACTGTTGAGTGCAGAGATTGCAGTTCCTCAGGGGCAGGAATAGACTCTGCATCATCTGACTCACACCTGTGCGGAGAGCAGCCCCTGCTCCTTACCTACTGCTCTTCTTTAGCTCAGGCAGTGCTCCACTGTCCTGATTGCTGTGACTTCTTCAGACTATCTCTGGGTGAGGTCTTAAAGTGACAATAATGCTGGAATAAGCTCGGCAATATAAATTACGAGCGATCAGAACAGCATGACATGAAGCAGACAGAAACCAATGACAATGCATGCAAACTGCAACCTTACTCATGCTTCCAAAAAGCAATCTGCAGGTTGAACTCGTGGAAATAATTTCACCTCCTGTCCACACTCACCCACTCTACATATCTGCTGTGCTGCAGCCCACTCCTGCCTTCTACCCCCCAACCCTACCTGTTGGGAGGGATCCAGCAGCTCTCCCACTTTGGCCAGCTCCCAGTTCACAGCATCCGTGGTGAGGCCAGGCTGTCCCCGCAGGTCCGAGCCGCTTCAGACAGCTGCTGTCTTCGAGACAGGAGCGTGCAACCAGCAGCTAGTGTGGCGACCAGGCAGCCTTCATAAAGCAAAGCAGCACAGGTTAATGTTAATGCGGCACAATGCGAGAGAACCTTCCAACACCCAAAATACAACATATCTATCTCAGCCCTGGCACCTGGCTGTGTGGATGGCCAACCTCTACCAAGTGCGGATGAGTGCTGCCCCTGCCCCAGTCCCGGGCTGGCAGCCACTCCCCAAGCTGGGCTGGGTCCTTCTGCTCCATACTGTCCTTCTGGATCCCTGCCATGACAAACATTAGGAGCATAGCGCTAGAGCCAACGACCAAAGGTTCCTCACCACTGCCATCTCAGACAAGGGCTCAGTTAACCATAGAGGATCTACCAGAAAGTGTCCGCTCAGTCTTTTTTTCCTGCCCATCAACCATTTTAAATATGTTAATTTACTTTTTTAAGTTTCATCCCAATCCTCCTTCTAACACTGCCTCCCTATACCCCCTCCAACCACATATTCCTTCCCCTCCCTTTTCTGCTCCACACCTTCACACAGGCAGGCCCTTTTCAGCCCCCAGCCTGTTTCCCCTATGCCCTGGTGAGGCGGCTGCCACCTGCCCCTACATCAGACCCAGGCCGTGAGCAGAGCCGCATGCCTGAGCTGCCCTCCACTTCTCAGGCACTGTCGCTCAGGGTGCCACTGTGCTGCTTTGTGCAGAAGTCGCACATTGAAGTGCCAGTTCCAACACAAAAATATCCAGCACATAACCACTTCAGTCTCACAGATCTCACACTCTGAGGGCTTGTCTACACACAGCAATTTTCTAGATTAATGGCATGTGACGAAGTTACAGAGCAAGAACAACTATGTGCCAGATTGCATAACAAACAGGATCTTCACGTTATCACAGAATTGCAAGGGTTGGAAGGAACCTCAAGAGATCATCAAGTCCCACTTCTCTGCTAAAACAAGTACCCTACAATAGATCACACAGGTAGGCATCCAAATGGGTCTTGAATACCTCCACAAAAGGAGACTCCACAACCTCTCTGGGCAGCCTGTTCCAGCACTCCATCACCCTTACCATAAAAAAGTTATTCCACATGTTATTATGGAGATTGTTACATAAAAGTTTAGGCTATTCTTCTTGTCCTGTTGCTGCACCAAGAGCAGCCTGGCCTCATCCATCTGCACCCCACCTCCTTTAGATATTATAAACATTTATCAGATCCCAATGAACGTAAAATTTTGTGCACAAATCCAACAGTAATTCAAGAGAAACATTTTCTCTTAAAAACAAAGAAATACAATACAAACAATAGAAGAAATACACCATTTGCCTTTAGATCACACTGATCTACAAACATATTCCAATTAAAAAAAATGCAGATTAAATAACTAATCCTCCCCCAACAAAACCTTCCCACCAAGATCAGCAGAGTGATGAATAGCATAAAACTACTAATTAAATCAATGTAACCTGAGTATCATGAGACACACCAAGCACTTCCTGCACGTGCATTGATGTTAACGTCTGCTTTGGAACCTCTCTTACCATGAGGAATAGCTGCTATTTTAACAGCCAGGTACTTATACGTCACACTGGAAAGAGCGGCTGTTGTTTATTAGCTCTCATTTAAATTGCTCTAAACTTGATGTTCCTGTAAGTTATTCACACGTATGCTATTTTCACTGTATGCATTTTGTAACAGTAGAGTATAGGTTTCTACTGAGCTATTTATCAGATGCTTGCACACAAAACTTCAAAAAGTATTTCCTAGAAATGCATTTTAAATAACACTGAGAACTCTTTTTACATGCTCAGATCTATTTGACTATAATTTGTTCTATAAAAGAGAGAAGAACAAAATGATACAAAATAAGCAGCTGTAACACTCTTGACTCCTTCAAGGCACAAACCTGAAAACCAAAAAACACACCACTGCTTTTAAACCAGAAGCTGTGCTCTGGGTCACTTGTTTTGCTTCCCATCTCTGAAGCCAGCTAATAAACACATACACCCACTGTTTGCCACAAGGCTGGGCACACCCTGGAAAAAAAACAAAGTACAACATTTTCAAAAGGGTATATTTATTGCCAGGTGAGTTCCACATATCTCGGTGCGAGCGCTCCGTTCCTTACTCAAAGGTTTGGCATGGGAGTGAGGACAGAGCGGAGCTGAGAAATTCTCCTGGCAGGGGGACAACACTGGGACAGCTCTGTCCTGTCCTGCACATTGCTGTGCAGCTCAGCCCTTTTGCTAGCACCAGCCCCACGGCCGCCCACAGTGTCACAGAAACTCCAATCAAGGGATTTGCCATTCATCTGAACGCTGCTACCAAAAACCTCCCTGTACTCAGCCATATCACCTCCCAGATCTGGCTTTCAGGCCTCCACCCAGCAGGAAAGAGATCCTTTTTTTCAGTAAGAAAAGCAAACAAAAAAGCCTCCTTCATTTCTATGAGCTCAAAATGTTTGAGAAACCATCGCTTCAGTCGCACGTGTATCTACACTTGAAAGAAAAAGAAACTCTTTGTTAGCAAAGACTGTGCGGTAACATAAGAGCAGAAATGCAGCATTGAAGATAAAGGCTTGACCTTGGAGTTCACAGCACTTTGGCTGGTCAGAAAAGGTCACATAAATGATAAGTGAACTTTTTGTACTGAAATGCTAATGATTAAAAAGGTGTAATGTTTGTATTAGCAAAAATCAACAACTACAACAAATATTCAGCAGTAGTGCAGCCATTCAATAAAAAAAGGAAGAAAGAATCTGAAGCCCACTGTTATGCAAGACTTGGGCTCCTCTCAGATGCCAACACCAGCAGGCAAGTGCTGCACGTCAGTAAGCGAAGGAGCAGCACTCATCCAGTGAGAACTGGATGGAAATGAAATTCTTGGCTGCCAAGTGGCTACTTGCGTGTTCCTTCACCTGTTTGCTTATGCTTTTTCATGATTTGCAAAGTGCACTTGAGAAGGAAACTCCTGTCCATGCCACTACCTGGTAATTAAACTGAGATGTTCCACCAACAGTGAAGCCCTTGAGCAGCACCCAGGCTCAGTTTATCTAAAGCAGAAAGCAAACAACTTCTCAGCAATGCACCCCCACCCTCTAACCCCTGCAAGACCTCCACGGAGGGTGATGCAGATGTCACCCAAATGAACCCAGCACGCCCCTTCCTCTGTCCTTTGGTTGGGGTTTCCAGCTGCGCATGGAGCAGCCAGGCCCTGGGATCCCTAGACTCAAGGTACTTAGAGCACAGAACATGGCACTCCCTCCCAAAGGCAGGAGGTAGGGCTGCACCATCCCATGAGATGACATCTGGGCTGGAAGAGGAGCACAGCAACAAGATTGCAAAACTCCATAAAAAGTAGCTTTCGGCCACCTGCAAAAAAACAAAGCACCTTCAAGATTAGGAGCATCCTTTCCCAAACACCTCCACATCAGCACACTGTGGCTTCTGGAAGGCCTACAATCTCAGAGTGCTCCTAAAAGCGCTGACACCAGCGAGAACTGGAGAACCTTGGGCAGGTGCTTCACAAGCCACAGGAGCTGCAAATGCTGCTGTGGATGGTCACCAACAAGAAGCAGAATGTTAGAATAACCAACAAGAGTCTATTCTGTTGTTGTTGCAGTTACCCTGCAGAATTTCTAAGACAGATCCTGTAATCTATCAGGTAGTCAGGTTTCAAACAAAATCCCCTAAATCTGCCTTATGTTATCGGAGTCCTACTTACTGTTTCTCCATGCACACTTCACTGCTGATGTTCCTGCTATTCCCTTCTTGCTAAGACAATGAGAACGAACCAGCTGGCTCTACATACAGGTTCTTGTGCATTACTGCATCTCTCAACACTTGGGTCAAATGGGTTGCAGTGGTGTTCAAGGTTCCCCACAGCTCACCACATTTCCCTGATGCGTGCCTTTTAACATCAGCCTCTCACTCATTTTCTTACCTCTCGCGTTCCCAGGGATGAGCTATGGCCTGCTCTTTACAAGCTGGTGAAGGCCCGTGGGAGAGAATGGCTGTTTCCTTATATACACACTTACTTACACTTCATTATTTTGAACAGCTCATCTAACATTTGTTCTGTCGCTTTCAGGTTCTGTGAATACATTTCTGTAAAACCACGGTCAAACCTGACCTCACAATATGGCAGTCAAGCAGGAGGGGAGTTAAAAGGAGCAACTCTCACAGAACTCCACCTACACGTGCTTCATGGAGAAGTATAGAGCATGTTACATCATGAAAGCAAAGTCACTGGCTTTTTGGTAACTGAAGGCAGGGTACAGTTGCTTAGCAATTTATCTGATTACCATTTTTCAAGTATCACATGCACACTTAGAGATGTTGCATAATAATGTCTCACTTTCATGTTTCCTAACCCAATTAAAAAAAAAAAAATCTACCAAACTTCTACCAAAATTAATACCTATAGCTGTATCTGGCAAAAGAGAAAAGACAATATAGCAGCTCAAAAGCGAGTTGAAGCATTAATATTCCTGAATATAAATGGCTTTCAGAATGTCTCTATGAAAGCATTTTATTTTATCCACTTGTCTGCGAAATGACAGTAGTAATTTCTTCCTCACAGAGAGGCACCAAAATTCATTAAGAACAGTAAGATTTTCAGATGAAAGATGCTGAGGAAGCATTGTTGTTAGCACTTACAGCTTATTTAGTACTCCAAACATTGTTAAGCCCTGGTCCAAAGAGCAGCAAATTCTAGTCATGGTCATAACATTGTTAGGGAAACAAGGACTGTCCAGTCTCACACCATGCAAATTACAATTCTAACACGAGAATCTACTTTCACCACCTAGGAAAGAAAAAAGAAAACAAAATCCAAAATTCCCCCCCACTCCACAGTACATACCCCAACCTGAGGCTGCAGTACTAAGCACTGCTGCAGCTCCTGGAGCTGCTACTATGAAAAAGCAGAGGTAAATCAGAACATGTGCATACATGGCATTTTTAGAAAAGAACATGTTGTACCTATCGATCTGCTCTTTGAAAACCTAATTACACTGTAGCTAATCCATGAAAGAATTGAATCTTCAGCTGCCTTTGCAGTGAGCAGTAATAGCTAACAACACAAATATCAAAACTAGGCACTGTTTCCAAAAGGTTATAATCAGCTCTAAAAAGAACTTGCACCATAGAGATAGATCTTTTGCATATCCATGAGATATATTCCATTAAAACATAAAGTGTCTACTTTATATATGCACCTCTGTCTTCAACTGCACAGAAAGCAGCTCAGCTGCCTGGAGCTCCACTTACAGCACATAGTTCCTGTCAGCTGAAGTAACCAAAGGTAAAGTTTTGGAAACCAAGTATCTCATCCCCATGGCAAAGCATTAACCCGCAGTGAGAAACCCCAAGCAAGGACAGCCAAGCTCTATACTGCTACCAAGTAATTATCTTACTTTCACCGCAGCTCCTCTCTTGCTAGTAGACATTAGAGCAATTTTATAAACTCTGCCCTACATCCTGCAGCTCTTGTGCAAGTCCACAACCAATTAAAAGCTTAATAGAGAGACCTGCCTTGGAAAGACCTGCTGGATCAAAATAAACCCAATCACATGGCACCTATCATGCCGCTAGTGGGAACCACATGCACATTTTGAAAACACCAGGCATCACAAAAAGAAATCATTTCTCACAAAAAGAAATCATTTCTCTCCTGGGACATGCTGGAAACATCTTACCGTGAGCCTCAGCCAATCCGAGATCCAAGGAGGACCCCTGGGCTGAAGAGCATCCTGCAGGCTGTGCACACCCAGCTCTGCCAACACCACCAATTGCAGCAAGAACCCACCCCACCTAGAGCTGCGTATGGATGCAGTTCAGCCAAAAGTTCTTAGCCAAATTAAGCTGGTGGAGCTGGGTGAGTCTGACCATCTCCCACTCATATATTCCGGGCAAAAACAAACCAAGGAAAACAGGCAGTTGAGAGCATGCTGTGTCACAGCTGTCCGTACTAGAAGAGAGCTTCCCCCATCAGAAATACCTCGTTTTCTCCCACATGAGTCGAGAAGCACAACACAGTGCCTGGCAGCAGCCCCGGTGCAGGCTCAGCACCAGCGCACCTGAGCATGGGGCAGCTGGGAAGGAGCCCTCCCTGTTTTGTTGTTCGTGCTATCAGCACTTATCCAATGACTCCTAATGCTTGGATCTTATGCAATGAAAGCAAGACGGCACATATTTGTGGTAGAGAAGATTCTCTCTGTAATCTAATCCAGCTTTGACAGAAGCCTGCGAGGGCGGAGGGGATTGAGATAAGGTTGTGGCAAACTTCTGTGCTGGCAACAATAAAAATCTAGAACAAAACAAAGGTAACAAACATGCTACTTTCTTTTATACAGACCAATTAGAGGCCTCTGAACTCATACACACACGACAATCTCATTCAGATGTGGCTACAAATAAATTTCTAAAGCAGCTGAACTTTTACTTAGCCTACGGGGACACGTTAAAGAGCAGTATATACCTGCAGGTAGATGCCCTTCAGGTTTGTTTTAAACAGCCCATCAAGTGTCCAGGCTCTATCTTGCACCACATCTTATTGGAAGCACCATTTCCCACCAGGAACTCTGACCTCTGACTAATCAGAAATGAGCAGAGATGTTGGTCATCTGTCCAGAAAGCCTAAGCCTTCACTAGCCTTGTTCTGGCTGCCTGCACAGTCTTTTCACCAAGAGCTCAGATACCATCTGGATGCTCCTGTTTCATGTGTTGTCACAGAAACGCAAGGACCATTATTTCTGCTGTACAGTGTGAGACATTTCCACTCCCTGCCTGGTCTGCACTAAGCATCTGAACACCCTGGCCTCCAGCAACTCTCCAAAGCCTTCACCTGGAGATAGGCAGCATTCTACAGGGAGCAGCGGGGCCTTTTCCTGCCTCCTGCTGGCAAACAATTTATCCAAGTAATTGACCCATTTTCTACAGAATAATTAGCCCAGGGGAACGACACACTACTGCCCTTTAATTAGTCATGTTAGTAGCTCTCTTGTTTTACCTTGTAATAATAGCAGCCAGAGACTAAGGAAAAAAAATCCACAAAACAAACAAACAAACAACTTGATTTCATTTCCTTAAATACAACATCCTTAAATGCAACCCAGAAACAAAGAGTCTTAATGCACAAATGCCAACAATAAAATTTCCCATTTATTCTGCAATTCCCAGGCCAGCCATCAGGACTCCTTCATATCACTGCATTGGGCTTCTCTTCTCTGGATGCTCTCCCAATTGCTTCTCCTTCATCTTCCATGACCAGAAACTCCTCTTGGGGTTTAGATGGCTCTTGGTAGGGCCATCACCTCCCACCTCCCCAGACCTCCCACTGCAATCAGCCTCACCTGGCTCATTGCTGGTGCTGCAGAGGAAAACAAGAACTGCAGTTGTTGGGTGAATTGCGCACTGAGAGAGAGCACTGTTCCTGCACAGCACAAGGGACCACCCACAGCCCTGTAGTGTGAGAATTGGGTGCAGCCATCACTGTACCCAAATGAATGAGTGATGTGCATATCTCAGGACACTGCAGCACAACTCACCCTCTTGATGTGAAGGAATAAGCAGACTAACAAATTAAAAGGCCAAGGGGATCCTGCATCTGCACTCCTTAGAACTTCTTCAAGCTGCTGAACTGAAGTACAGATCTTAAAAAGATACCTCAGTCTGAAGGCTCCAAACACTGCCAGATCCACCACCTCACCTAAAGAACCCTTCCCCCCTCGCTTCAAGGTTAAGTTCATTTTAACCTCGCGCTATGACACTGCCAGTAGAACTGCAGAGCCCCATGGCCAGGCACCTTCCATACCTGTGCAGGGCCCTGTGCTGCCCTCAGCCCCCATCCACCACTGCCCACAACTCACACTGTGGCCCCTGGTTCTGTCCTGCAGCCTGCCGTGGGACCCAGCACCCAGAGTTCCAAAATCAGACCTCCCCAGAGGAAGCTGCTTCAGCCTCCTGCCCTGCAGCAGGATCATGCCTCAGAGGCACAGAAAACCACATGTACAGAGGGGCACCACAGTTTGGGAGCCCTCAGGGTACACCGTGAGCATGGCGGTGCCCTGTGGGCAGATTTCCTGCCGTGCATTCCCCAGCACCTGCAAAAGTGGCCACAGAGGCTCACACCTGCATCTCAGTCCCTCCTCTTTTGCTATTTCCTGTAGACGTTTCATCTTTTCAGGGCTTTCTATTTATCCCCAAGCAGCAGCGAGCCCCGTTTTCAGCTGATGCAGCTCATGTATTGATGCATCAGTGTACTCACAAGCCACGAACAACACTCTGGGCAATCCGGTCCCTTTGCAAATCCCAACATAAGGCTCCATCGTGGAACTGCCAACACCTCGCTTGCAAATATCCCCATCCCCTGCAGGTAATATTCTTCCTGGGAATTGGGAGGGAATTGGAACAAACCTGCCAAGCACATGATACCAGAGAACAATACCAAACATTTCATCTGACAGAGATGCGCCGCCTATGCTGCATGATTTGGGGGACTTTGCACGTCGGCGCTCCCCCCGGGCCGGCGATGCGGAGCTCCCCGGGAAGCCCCGCGTTGCACAGCGGCAGACGGAGAGGGGACAGGGGAAGGGCGATCCTCCTTGCGTCCCCGCGCCGCACAACCAGGGGATAGTAGCCAGAACCCTGCTGCAGGGGATGGGCGGGAGGAAGCACATTTTCCATTTCGCAAAAATTCAGCTGTTCTGGATGTTTTCCATACCAAAAATGGAACAAGAACAAACATCCCAAGACCGATTTAAATGTAAAAGCAGCGGCAGAAGGATATCCTCGTTTCAGTGGTGCTGATATCCGGGTTCCTGACCTCCCGGCACCGCAGCGCGAGCAGTTCCCAGGGCTGCGGAGGAATCACTGAGGGGGCTGTCGGCCCCCCACCCCCCGCCCTGTCCTGGGGGGCTGAACACGGATTTGTCCTTTCCCAGCACAATGAGTTAGTGAAACCAGTACAACCGAGACATTTCACAACATCTCGCTTTGTTCAAAACACGTCACAACTCAGAAGAAAAGCAGCCCCAGCCTCCCCATCCCCGCTTCTCCCTCCGCACCCCCGTACCGCCGCACCCCTCGACAGCTACGCTCGGGGTCGCGGCTCCCCACGGCTGCTCCCGGGAGGGGGCGACTGCGGATCCCGCCGCCGCCGCCGCCTTTGTCTGCCCGAGACCGGCGCCCGCCCGGTTACCCTACGACCGCCCGCCGAACGGGAGGCGCGGCCGCGGCCCGGCGGTGCAGGCGGCCCCTGCCGCCAAACCGAAAGCGGTAGAGCCAGGCGCCCGCCCTCCGCCCCGGGCGGCGCATCTCCGGCTGACGGGAGGCCGCCAGGCGCCGGCGCGCCTCCCGGGCAGGTGCCGGGCGGCCGTCGCGTCCCCCCCCGCCGCGGGCCCTCGCCTCACCGGGGTCCATGGGTGCCCTGCGACCGGCGACGGCGAGAGGCGAAACGCGCCCGTGACACTCGCCCGTAGTGTGGATGCGGTTGCAATCTGCACATGCTCGCTTCCGACAGCCGGCCTTCCCCGCCACCTTCCCTTAACTCTTTCCCAACTGCCTCGCATCGCCTTCCGCCCCTCCCGCACCGCAGAGGGGCTGCGGGGTCTGGGCCCGGAGTTCCCCGCACGGCGCGGTGGGTGCGTGCCGCAGAACCCGTCTTCCGAGCCCTCCGGGAGCCCTCCCGAGCGGTTGCTCTGCGGGTGCGCGGTACCTGAGGTGCGGTCCTTCGTATTTACCCTTCCGAAGGAATCCACGCCCGCAGAGCCCGGGTGGCCGTGGGGCTCAGACTGAACCGCCTGCTGCTGGAGCCGGGAGCAGAGGGACGTCTAACACCACTATCAGGGGAAATATTTGTCTGTAGCTTAGCTGGTAAAGAGTGAAACATAATCCCCTCAAGAAGTGTTTTTCTACCCAGAAGGACCTCTCCAGATTGAAAAAAAATGGCCTAAAGAAGGAGAGTAAGAAAATAAATTTAAGGCATAAATAGTAGAGCAGATTAAATTCCTCTCTCCTTCCGCATTAACTCTTCTGCAGCACGAGAACATGGGAGAGTGAAGTGCGTTTCTCTAGGGTTAGAAACCAGGAGACTGCAACTTCAAGCCAGAGCTGAGGAGTGGACATCTCAGTGCCCTGTGGCAGGGTAGGCAACACAGCCACGTGCCGCCACTTGGGAGGGCTGCGGTGGGCAGCAGCAGGTTAATGTGTTACCTTCTTCCAGAAGGGAAAGAGATTTCTGTGTCTGTTACTTTACGGAGAGAACCCAGTGTGTCATGGGGTAGGAGACTACCTCCTTCCTGGGATGGGAAATGGCCCAGCTCCTGGCCCTGCGTTTCAGCCACCACATCTCTGAGTTCCCCACTCTGCCCAGGTCACTGTTGCACCTTGTTTCTCCCAGCCCCCATGTCTCTCTCTCTCCCCTGTCCCCTGCAATACCAGGAAGGATGAGCTCATGTTTTCAGCAGAATAAAGATGCTTTCATGACCTCTGTTTAATGATTCAGCGGTTTAGAGATCAATAAAAACCAATCACTGTGATGAGGCAGCACCAGATCAGCTCAGGCCTGAAGCACTCACAGGAATGGGTTCCCAAAAAGCCTGCCCACAGACTGGTACCACAGGTGCTGCATGGATGCACGGCCCCATCGTGGCCCCGATGCTCCATGGGCCCACACACTGTGCGTAGAGCTGTAGCTGCTCCGAGGATGCCACACTGCAGCAAAGCGCCTGTCAGAGTGTCACCTGACCACACAATCTCTCTGCGAGAGCTGGAGTGTCAGAAAGATGGAGTGTTTTAAAGGGGAAATGGAGAATAACACGACCAGCCCTATCCCAGTCAAGGTGTGCCAGCTGGGATGGTAGCGCATGCCAGTGACCTCAGGCTGGCTTAAAAAAATAAACTGTTTGATGTATATTTCAACAGAGCCAGGAAGGAAAATGCTAAGATAGATAAGGTATCTCTGATGTTGTAGAAGCACCTCTAAAATACTGTATCTGATCAAACAGATGCAGAAGACAGCAGTCAGATGCTATGCTGTTGTATTTTCTGTGAAACAGCATCCTCCAGAAAGTGCTGAGCATTGTGCCAGAGAGAGAGCATGAGAGAGATCATTTCACAGCATGAGGCAGCACGAATATTTCACAGCATGAGAGCAGAGAATGCCTTACGAGGAGCAGAGGAAAGGTCAAAGAGAAAGGAAGAGGAGAGCTAAGAGATACCTACAAGAAGGAGAAATCAACAGCCAGAGACAGACCAAAATAAATGAGAAGCACACGTAGGGAACATATAAATCTGCATTCTCCTCCCTAGTCACAGTAAGCAGGGAGGAAGGAGGAGGTGAGGAGAAAGGAGAGGGCTCCAAGAGTAAGGAAGGAAGTGGCAGCAAGGCAGGGGTCAGGGGGATGGAGACTAGGGCTGCTCTGTGCTGAGTGACAGGTAGGAGGGAGACAGCCAGAGAGCACCTGGGGTGGTGCTGTGTCCCTCAGGCTGGTCAGGCCCCTGCCTGTGTTCGCTGGTCCAGAAAAGCTATTGTGTCTCCATCCAGCTTCCCTTCTTTTAGCCTGAGCTAGTAATGGAAAAGCTAATGGAACCAAAATTATAAAATGCTGAAATATGGAGTAAGATGAGCCTAGAGGCATAAGGATCCCCAGAATTGCCCACTTGTGTGCTCCTTGAGGGCCAGCCAGGAACGAGCACTGATCTCTGCAGAACACTCAAGTGTGTGCAGGATGCTGGCTCTGAGATGGAAATTTGCAGTGACCTACAGATGCCCCAGCACCTCTGCAGCCATCTATAAACAGGCAGCAGAGATGCAGCTGATCCTATTAACTGTCTTATAACCGCACCACAACTGCTTTGTCTTTATCTGGAAAAAGGGAGATCATACGCAGCACCAGGCCTAGATCCTCTATATGTGCATCCAGAGCCAGAGGTCTCTGCACTACACCAGTTCTGGAAGGATTTATTCATTTGGTGCAGTATCACACCTGAACATACATAAACATCCCAAAAACTGGCATAATCACATCTGCTTGGTACCGCAGTCTAGTCTTTGAGCACACTCAGAGTACAGCATGGACATACTCAGGCTTGTTCCTCAGTCATCCACCCCAGACTAGCAGAGCCTATTCTCCCACTCTAAATTGTGTTTTATTTATGGCAAAGTTGTCAGACTGAAAAAAAAGGATGACTTATTTCTTCAGGGACTCTTAATGCGGTCATTACAGCAGTGTCTGAGTGCATCACAAATACCACTGTGAGCACAGTCATCCCTAGTGAAATCAGATCTCACTCTGCAGACTGGGGTTTGAAGCCCAGACATGTCACAGTCAAAAGGAATCATAAATTTGAGCCTTCTCTTTTCCTCCAGAGATTTTTGCTTCTTACGGCTTCTTATATTTACATTTCATTTGTGAACACTCATCCCTTCTGTAAATCCAGCCTCAGTGTGGAGAGAGGGGAAAAAAAAAAAAAAAAAGAAAAAAAAAAGAAAAAAAAGAAAAGCACCTGGGAAATCAGGAACTCCTATTTTTCTTCCACTTTAATTCCATGACTTCTACTTTTATTACTTTGGAATTAATGGAGGATGGGACTTGCCAGAGAAAAAACTTTTCCAGTGAGAACTTTAACCACCTGGCTCATGAAATTACTCTTCCCCCCTCCTGCATACCTGAGGATGTCCTGCAACTGGGAATTGAGAATTTCATCTCTCTGGGTAAATAAACAGAGAGCATCTCCTTTCTATTCTATGTAATAAATCCCTCACAGATGTACAGGCTTCTCTATCAGAAAACTGAGAAACAATCCTGAAGCTTACAAAGAAATTGAAGAATTTCTCCTTCCCCCCACCCCCCCCTTTTTCTGAGGGGTCCCCTATCACTGTGTTGCCACATGTTCTCCAGACAGAAAGAGGAAGTGTTTTTAAGACTACCACAAGTCACATGCGGTTTCAGAGCAGACTAAACTACTTTTTGTGTTGCTTGAACAGATTTTAATGCGTTAACATGGAAATTGCTCCCTCTATCTTTTCATTGAAGGTAGAGAAAGCCATAAGCCAAGGATTTTCACTACCTTCACACTTCCAGGGAGTTCATGGAAGAAAATGTAGTTTTTCAAATATGAAACCTTCAAAGTGGAGATTTCCTCATGCAATGTGTTTTTTTTTATTTTTTATTTTTTTCTGTGTAGCTGGACTTCTTTTTTTCCACTGTAGGCCCTATCAAAGCACATTTGCTTTCTTCTCCTGACTTCAGGCACTAACATCATACCATTCCTGACAAGATCCATGGCCTACAAAGGGACTGAAGTAGGACTTAGGTCCACACAAGTTCTTATCATATCTCTGCCCCAAATTCAAGGCATTTATACACCTATTAATTTAACCACTTGCATGCCAGGTTCTGCAGTGGGACCATATGCTGCACTCCGCCAGTAAGGTACAGCCCTTGGGGTTGCCTCAAAATGCTGGAGGCTAGGCAGCAAACTTCAGAAAAGACAGATGTTTTTAAAAATGCTTCCTTCCTCTCTGAAACTGTTAAAATAATTCCCTTCCAGGAGCATGCTCTTTGCTCTGGGTATTAATTGTAATAGTAAAGTTCGCATGCTTTGGGCTACATGCTTTTAAAAAAGGCATACTTTCTGCTGTAGATACCTACAATACCTTATGGTTTAGTTTCAGAGCTGAACTCTCACTATGCAGGATGGGTAGGGAAGAGATCCTACCAAAGTGACACACAGCAGAGCATTCCTCCTGTCCAGGCAGCCTGCTTAGGAAATACAAGTGTTCCACTTCAATATGTGCATGGGAAGGAATGTTGCAGCAGAACATTTCCACAGAAACCAAAGCTTTTGAGTTTCCTCTCAGGTATTGTTTAGGGACCACTTTGGACTGACAGATAAATTGTTTGGTGCTGGTATCCTCCACTGCTGCCATCATCCTTTCAGGTGGACTGAGTAGATATCAGCCAGAACAGACCAGCAAGAGCTGCAGAGCCAGCAGCAGGCAAGGTGCATCACGACCGATGCCTCACAAAGTAAGATTCTGTTTACCTTTTTTGGAAAA